AAGGCTGAGTCAACCTTGAGCCTGGTGAGATTCGATCTGCCAAACTGCTGGCAGCCGGTGATCAGCAGAAGTAGCCTGCAGTACTGCACTCTAACTACTGCACCACTGCAGCTCTTAGGGCATGAAGGCAAATCTAGTATCAACACTGAATGCTCAACTTGGCATACGTTCTCTTCATTTATCTCTTTTCTACAACACAGAAGTAACTAAATTCCATCTTAATCTAGATTCATTAAAAACGGTTATTTCAAAACTACAATGTTCTCTCCCCCCCAAATAAACTGTAAATACACTTTAAATCAACATCATTACACGTTTTGCTGGGTTCAATAATCATGGCTGCATTTCCCTGTAAGGAACAGTCACATCTGAATTTGGATTGTCTGCATATACAGTACTCCCCGACTTTCAACCATTCATTTAATGATCGTTTTATAACTTCATTGAAAAAAGTGATTTACAATTGGTCCTTGCACTTACAGCCACTGAAGGATCCCAGGTTAAAATTTGGGCACATGGCAACTGGCATGTATTTATGAGGCTTGCAGCATCTCGGAATCATGTGATCACTACTTGTAATCTTCCCAGAGGTTTCCAACAAGCAAAGTCAACAGAAAGGCAAGTTGTGCTTATTATACATTATCAAATGTGTGATTTGCCTAACAACTGTGACGATTCTCTTAATGACTGTGTCAAAAAGATTGTAAAATAAGATGTGACTCCCATAATGACTGTGATGGAAGTTCTGGTCCCAACTGTGGTTGTAAATCAAGGACTATCTGTACATGGATTTATGTACCACATTAATAAGGCAAGGAGAACCAAGACATCTGTCTAAGCTGCATGTGAATAGCCTTTATGCTCTACATATCCTCCTAGTCTGCTTTTTCACACTTTGGGGCAGATATATTATACCTATTTGGTATGCCAGTACCTTAAATATCCCAGTGCCATACCATGCTATGCCAAATTATATCAATTTGATTGCAAACATCTTTCAAAAATAAATTTCTTATATTTCAAACATCTCTGTTCATATCTTGAGCTAGAAGACAGAACATGTTCTTCCTAGTTTAGCTGCTGAGAAGAGAAATCATGATGATGGCATGGAAGATAATTTTCTGGGTTTAAATATTTGGCCATTTCTGTTCTGGAATTTGGGGGTCCCAACAAGCATGTTAAGTTTTGAAAGTTCCACAAGTTTTCTTCATTCTCCAATATTAATCAGCTGATCTTATTGCATTTAATTGCCAGAAGACGTTTCATTATTATGGTATCTTAGCCTTATACATAATTCTATACTCTCATACAAATAAATGTATAAAGAGCACACAGAACGTAGAATATGGGATTGAAAATCTTGCTTTTTTATTATCTTATTTTCTTCTTGATGCCTAGTAAATAACTGTAAAAAGAAAAAAAAAACCCAGACACAATAGCATACCAAATGTTTTGAGAGGATATAAATAAGTTCATTTAATTGAAGATTGGAATGGTACAAAATGCAGACATATATTTTATGCACTGATAATAGTTTTGACATTTTGTAATTAATTCTTTCTGGGGCTTAAGCAATCAAATGGGTTTACATCATGTAGACTTATTGCATTCAGCTTATGTTCACACAGCGCTAACTCTCTGCCTCTTCTTACCTTGGACTTCAGTGAGCCAGTCTGGTTGGTTGTAATGCTCAGAGGCAATGGCAAGTGTGTTGAGAAACACCAGGAAGATCACAAGCCAATAGAACACATTGGATTTGACAGCAGCGCGACATTTCCGTCTACAGAATCGATTCCATCTGCGCCAGTAGCGGCTTGGAAAAAAGGAGACAAAAGAGAAAAACTGACCATGATTGCAGGACATTCTGATCTGTTCCATGACCCCAAGGACTATTTTTTCTCAAGAATGTCTGTGATAAATGAGTTTATAAGAAGAGGCAATTCAAGTCACATTTATAACATTATCTCCAAACAAGCCTCACCCTTTTTCTTTCTTGCAGACTTTTATTTTAACTTCAGTATTCCCAAAGAGTAAAATGGTTGAGCGAGACTACTGCAAAATATGTTCAAATTGTCCTACACAATATTATAATTCATTGGAATGTATATTTATATATTTTATACCAATATATGTGTCTTATTTATTAAATTTATATACTCTCCCTAATTAATATATTCATACTGTGGGAACTTACTAACTTACTGAATAAGAGTTTTGTAGAAAGTGGCTTTCTTTAATAAAGATTATAAGCATAAGTTTACTGTTCTTAACCAGAGGCGTTGGCATCTTAGCATAAATAAGCATAAATTAGCATAAATAAATAAATAAGATTCAAGTAGGTGATGACTGGACAGTTTGGATATATAAGATACTGTTTGAGAAATTGTGGTGAAGATTATTTTTTTCCTACCATTAAATCCCTTTCTTTTGCTTTATTGCATAGCGCTTTTCTCTTTCAATGGCTTTCAATGAAGGACCATAAGTTTAATGTTTAAATAAAGCTTTCAGAACTTTCATTCTTGTGTATTTGCCTCATGAAACAAGAGAGCCTGGATTCACTTGGGAGCAGCTAGTGGGAAACGTGCATGAAAATGTCCTACAAGATGCCTATGTTCTATTTTGTACCACTTTGTTGCTGAGATTTCTACAGAGGAGCTCCAACAAAAGCTGCTGTTAGAAGTGGGAAGAAGAAACTGATTCCTGGTTTTCATTTCTTCTCACACACCTCAAAAGATTACAAGGCAACTGACTCAAAAATACAGTTTCTACCTCTGTGGTTACCGAATTTTTCAGAGTATAAGACACGCCTTTTTCCCACAAAAAAGAGGGTGAAAATCTGTGTCCGTCATACACTGAATACAGCTTTTTTGGCTCCCAAACCCCTGTCCCCTTTGCAAAAATGGCTGTGCATAGCCTTTAGGAGGCTTCCAGAGTGCTCCTGGGGGCTGGGGGAGGGCAAAAATGAGCGGAAAATGGGCCATTTTTGCTTGTTTTTGCCCCCCCCCCCCAGCTACCAGGAGCATTCTATAAGCCTCCTAAAGGCTATGCATGCCCTTTTTTTTTGGCAAAAAATGGGCCCGTTT